GAATAGTATAGTGGAAAGAGTGTAGAATTTGGAGTGAATCTTCATCCTTATCCTCAATTTCCTTTCTGTGAAATGGGGAGAGATCACCTCTCTCCAAAGGTGATTGTACCTCCCCAGCCCCTTTTTATCTACTGCATTGTATTACATCTTTTGTTGATAAGAATTTGTTTAAGCCCAAGGATAGGAAGTATGTTTTTGTGTCTTCAACAGCTATGCAAGATAGAGCACAGAAAAAGAATATTTAATAAGCTCTGAGTATTCTATACACATACAGACCACAACTTTATGAGATAACTTCTATTTTTGTCATTATAGATAAGGAACTCAGGCATGGAGGGGCTTAATAATCTAACCAAGAACATATATATAGGAGTGGAGGGTCAACTAGAACCCATGTGGCACTCAGTAAATGTTAACAAATAAACACAAATCATAATAAAAGGCTGTGCTCAGTATTAGTTTTCCCTCCCCAAATGTGGTTCAGGAATTGCACTTGATACTATAGACAGTTGCAGCCCTTTAGATGTTTGGTAATATTCTTCCATTTGCCCTACTTTAGTTAAGAGAATAGCTTGCTTTTAGTCAGTGATACTTAACACTAAAGAAATAATAGATCAAATTATAAGCTCTTTCAAGGAAGGGAGTATGTCCTGTACATTTTGGTGTTTTTTAAATTGGGGTGTAATTAAGCTTAATGTAATCATTCTGGGGAAAAAAACTTCCATTTCTCACGTTGCACTCTAAAAAGGAGATGGTGTGGCTGGTGGCTGTAGTAGAGGTGATACAATGGAGGACTAGGAATTAGGAGCCCTGTCTTGGATTCTAGTTTTTTTTTTTTTAACTTTTATTGGAGTATAGTTGATTTACAATGTTGTGTTAGTTTCTGCTGTACAGCACAGTGAATCAGTTATACGTATACATATATACACTTTTTTAGATTCTTTTCCTATATAGGTCATTACAGAGTATTGCATAGAGTTCCCTGTCCTATATCTAGTTCTTAAGTTACTGGTTCATTCACCAAAAACTTACTAAGCCCTTTCCTCATGCCAAACCCTGTGCTAGGTGCCATGTGACCTTGGGTACCTCTCAGGGCCCACGTCAAAGGAGGATGCTGTGCCTTGTAAAGCAGGGGTCCCTAACCCACAGTCTGTGGACCAGTACCGCCTGAACCATCCTCACCCCCCCAGCCCCCCACCGTCCATGGAAAAAATTGTCTTCAATGAAACCAGTCCCTGGTACCTAAAAGGTTGGGGCCTGCTGCTGTAAAGAGCTCTTAGGGGCTTCTTAAGGATGCAACTCGGCAGAATGGGAGAAGCCAGCCAGACACAGCACTCAACTCCCCTCCCTCTGAGCAGTTCTAGTTTAAGGTTCTCCAGAGAGACTCCACAGCAAGAAAACTACAGTACTCCCCCCTTAACCAAGGGGGATACGTTCCAGGACCCCAGTGGATGCCTGAAACTGCAGATAGTACCAAACCCGATATGTGCTAAGTTTTTTCCTACATATACACACCTACAATAAAGTTAATTTATAAATTAGGCACATTAAGAGATTAACGGCAACAATAACAAAACAGAACAATCATAACAATATACTGTAATAAAAAAATTTTTTAATTCAAAAATTTTTTTGACTGCACCACGCGGCATGTGGGATCCTAGTTCCCCAACCAGGGATCGAACCCGTACCCCCTGCATTGAAAGTGTGGATTCTTAACCACTGGACTGGAAGTCCCCTGTAATAAAATTTAAGTGAATGTGGTCTCACTCTCAAAATGTTGTATTGTCTTGTACTCACCCTTCTCACAGATGATATGAGATGATACAATCCCTATGTGATGAAGTGAGGCATTGTGACATAGCATTAGGCTACTATTGACCTTCTGACCATACATCAGAAGGAGGCTCATCAAGCCATGATGATGTCAATGGTTGGACGTCAGGAGCAGATGATGTTGACGGTTGGGGATCCACGATAGATAGCTGAAGGGTTTTTTGCTGAAAGCTTTTGGAAGAACATTTTAATTGGAGTTGCTGTCTCTTTAACTCATCACAGTGTTGCTGCAGAGTTTGTAACCCTTTGGTGATCATGAATGGCTACAGTGCTTCTTTTCATCTGAGGATCATATTCCATAATTTTGAAATTGGTTGTGAAATTCGAAACACTTTGGCAACTTTCAGTAATGTCCACATCGCTGATTCCGCTTCAGGCTCTTCACCTTCATCTTCCTCCGTAGATGACTCCACAAGTTCTTCCAATAACTCGCTGGTTAACACTTCTCGGCGACCTTCAGCATGTTCTGCCACTTATTCATCAAGCATATCGGCAAATTCTTCTCCACCAACTTGTCTTGCTACGTGAATGAGTTTCCTAACTTCTCCATCGAGCCTCAGTAAACTTTAAAATCATTCACGACGTCATAAGTTCTACCAGCAGGCATTTACAGTTCCTGGTTTTAATTCATTCACAGCAGCTCTGATGAATGTATTGCGTTGGCAATAGCGAATGATTTCCAGCACTGCTTTATGTCCAGATGAAAGTCTGCATTAATTGATGACTAAATGTGATCAGATATCAGGCAGGTGTATGTGGCCTTGACCAAGTGATGCCGAGTCAAGTGGCTGAAGCAATGAGGTTGTATTTGAGGTAAAAATACAACTTTGACATTTTCATTTTCATAGCAGATTCAGGATGGCCAGGTGCATTGTCTATTAGTAATAGGATTTTAAATTCCAACCCTTCCTTTTCCAAATGTTTTTCACTTCTGGAAAGAAGCATTGGTGGAACCATTTCATAAACAAGGTAACTTTCACCTGATTATGTCAGAATACGGGCAGATAATTCCTGGTTTTGTTTCTGAGAGATTGTGGATGCTTCATTCTGTACACACCTCCTCCCTTTAACATCTGCCCTGCAGCGTTGCCAATAGTAACAGAGTTAATCTGTTCTTCCATGTTTTATGACCTGGTGCCTCCTTTGCACTTCTATGAAGGTAGGTTTGCTGCGGAATGCAAGTTTGTGTGCCTGACACACAATAAGGCCAAACAAACCCAAACGTCCGAGTTTGGAGCAGAGAAAGTTTTATTGCAAGGGCCAAGCAAGGAGAATGGGTGGCTCATACTTAAAAAAAAAAACAGAACTCCCAGTTGG